GGGGCCGCCGGCGAGGAGCTGCTGTTTGGGGAGCAGAACGGGCTGTATCACTGCCCTCCGCCTCACCCTTCTCAGGAACCGTCGGTGGAGCTCCTGCTCTGCCAGCTGCCCGAGGCGGGGCACGGCTTGGGGGAGAGCCGGACGTGGCACTGCTCGGGATGCCTGCTGGGCACCTGCTGGTGCAAGAGTTGCCTGAGCGTGTGCTTTCTGGCGATGCTGTGCTTCGCCTCGCTCGCCTTGGTGCGCCAGTACCTGCGGGACCTGATGCTCTGGGCTGAGGGCTTGGACAGCCTGGCCGGCGTACTGCTCTTCACCGTGGGCTTCATCGTGGTGTCCTTCCCTTGCGGTTGGGGCTACATCTTGCTCAACGTGGCCGCTGGCTATCTTTACGGCTTCGTGCTGGGCATGGGCCTCATGGTCCTTGGGGTCCTGATCGGCACCTTCATCTCCCACGTGGTCTGCAAGAAGCTCCTGGCCCGGTGGGTGCTGGCCAGGATCCAGGGCAGTGAAAAGCTCAGCGCTGTCATCCGCGTGGTGGAAGGAGGAAGCGGCCTCAAGGTGGTGGTTCTGGCCAGGCTGACGCCGATACCCTTTGGACTCCAAAATGCACTCTTCTCTGTGAGTAACTCTGCCCAGGAGCTCTCGATGCGCCTTGCTTAACAAACCGCGGGTGATAGGCTCCGTCTCGAGCGCTGACTCTGGCTCAGGGTTTAAGCAACTTGCTACTCTCCAGGTATCTTGTATTCAGCTCCCACCGGCCCCCAGCTTGCACAGGATTGTGCGTGTTTAGTTCAGAACAGCTAGACAGCACCAGTTCAGACCCAGTTACAGGGCAAAGGGATTGCAAATAATTGGTTTATCAATCAGTTGCAGATATAGGAGTAACTCAGACCCCAGGGCCGATCAGAATATATGCTTTTCTCAAAGGCAGTGGTTTGGAAGAGTTCCTAAGTCTGTACTGATTGTTCAAAGAAGATCAGTATAGGTCAGATATTCCCTGCAAATGCGTGTAACCATAGCCCACAATAGAAAGCTTTCTTGAAAATAATCTGAAACCGAGAAACAAGGGGAGAGGGATATTTAGGTGTTCTCTTGCCCTAAATCTCTGCCAAATAGCACCTCTTTCTGTGTACTGTAGTTTATTCCTGGGAGACAGAAGGCACTGCTGAATAGTCTTGCATCTAGGCAAAAAAAAAAAAAGTTACCCTATACAGAAGGGAAAATGGGCAGAAAACAGGTTAAATTACACTTTCTTGCTATCAGTTCTCTGCTTCTGATTACTCTTATCAGGAAACTCTAGTTTTTAAAATTATTTTTACAACTCTATGGGCATATTCTTCCCAACCATTCAGTGCAATACATACTTAGTTTTAGGTAGGTTATTACATTCCTGTTTATTATTTCAGTGTTTAGAAGACATCACAGTACGTGGCTTTTAAATTCAACAGAATTTGAATCCATTACAAGGAGTTTCCAAAGCAATTCTAATGTAGGAGTTTTTTTAGATAAAAAAATCAACTTATTTGTCTCTCCCCTGTTAATAAGAAATTGCACTTAAAATCTGAATGCCAGTTGTGTACTGGTTCTGTATGTTATGAAGGTTAATTTGGTACATTTTACATTTTCCTGTAAGAAAGGAATAGTTGGTATTGGCCTGTAGCCTAGCATCTCTATATTTTCCTGCATTCAAGCCAAAGAGTGAATATATATTTAGTGTTTGTGTTTGGCCCTTGAAGTGTTTTACATTTTATGACTGATTGGGAAGCTTGGGTGTGTTTGTTAACATATAATATCTAAACAAGGTTTTATTTCTTTGGGAAACTGTAGGAGTATATGGTAGGCTATCTCAGTTGTCATGATTGTAGGGCAATTTACACACAAAATGCATTTTTACTTTTTTTTTTTGGCTTTAGTATACAAAATCAGAGAAAAAAGATACCAAAAGAAAAGTGAAAGAAAAGGAAGACGAAATATACAATGTTTTAAAAACTGTAAAGAAAGCATTAAATCTTGACCAGATGTAATAATATTGACCAGTCTTTCCATTACATCAGTAAAGGCCAGTTTATAAACAGTTCATAAACAGAGAGTGAATGTATGTCATCAGTCCAAAACTGTAATTGAGGAGGAGATTTCATACATGCAATGTAAAGGAATGCTGTAATCTATTTTGCTGTATCCGGTGCCTGATAGAGCTGTAGTTCTCTCTACACTGATAAATTCCAAATTTTGGGTGTTGGTTCAAAATCATATGCACACCTTCCCAAAGCCACATTAACAACTAAAAGACACTCAACCAAGATCAGAACAATAATAGAATATACCCATATGTGTAAATGTTCCCTCTGTCATTTTGTAATACCCAGTACGAAGTAGACAGAAAATTCTTTTAAAGCATACTCTGAGGTATTCAGTAAAAATGAAAACAGTGTTGAATGAGTCTCATCCTGAGATTATAAGAAACATACTTCATGTTCTTTAAGACCCATAACCATTGATTTATTAATATAGGATATTCCAACACTTTATTTCAAAGTTCTTTAAGATAATTGAAAACACATTTCATTGATAGTAATTTAGGAGTCTGAGATGCATCTAATGCATCTGGATCAAAATGTGTTCAATCAAGTTTTTTTTAATTGAATATGCCATTGTTCCTAAATTTTAGACAATCCAAAATTCCCCTTGCAGTTATTCAGATTTAAACACTTATGTACAGTGGAGATCTCAGACCTTCTGTCCCAGAAGTCATCTGAGTTTTTATACCCACCTCCTGTTCTTTGGAATAATGACTTGGTCATTCACACTATCACCTCTCTGTCTTCCAGGAAACACTTTATTTGGTGCCCTCCCTTGAACTCCCTAACATGGGAATCTCTTGAACTACATATATCCGTCCTGCAGTAATATGCATTTTACAACATTCATCTTTTCCTGTAAGCCCTTTAGGATTTTAAGCATCTATTAATAGTAACCTGAAATTTAAACATTGACATAATTACAACTACAAAAAAAAAAGGGTTATTTTCATGGGTAATTATTCTCAGATAGTTGGAAGAATTCAACCACCAAGTAAAGCCTTTATGTTTTACAGATTTCCATAGATACATTAGTGCCTATAGGAAGTATATGAGACCTACTCCATTAGGTGACTAATCTGACAATTTACCAAACTGTTGTATTATAGCAAATGTTATTATAGAAGTTCTGTATTAGTACTAGCAATTATACTGTCAGCTTATAATAAACTTGCATGCTAAACTCCAGCCACTTTTATATCCACAATGTGTTTTGATTTCCTGAGAGAAATAAAGGGCATCTTTGTCAACTTCCACAGGACATCTTGATGTGTGAATAAATAATTCCAGTTGTAATAACCTGGCCAAGGGATTAGAATATTGCATAGTTTATCATTTTAATAGAAAAAGAAGGAAATCCATATTTGAACAAAATTTGTTCCAGAATTTAAACTGTGACATATCAAGAATTTTTCCACATCCATCAAAACCACCACTGTCAACTCTGGTTTTTCTGAAGATCTATCTAAAATATCAATTAGTAATCTAATATTGTATTAGGCATGAAAGTCTTTTATAAAACCAGATTGCGCAGGATAGATAATTGAAAATAATTTTGTCTGTAATCTGTATGCCAGGATTATTATAAAAAAATTGGCCTAACATTTAAGAAGGATATTCTGCAAGCTATTGCACTATCAGCAGAATCTTTACCAGCTTCAAATGTACACCACATTTTGGTCTAGTAGTTAAGGGACCAGGCTAGAAAGCAGGAGACTGTGAGTTCTGGTCCTGCCTTAGGCATGAAAGCCAGCTGGGTGACTTTGGGCCAGTCACTCTCTCTCAAACCAACTCACCTCACAGGGTTGTTGTGAGGAAAATAGGAGGAGGAAGGAGTATTAGGTGTATTCACCACCTTGAGTTATTTATAAAAATAATTTTAAAAAATCTTTAAAAAAAAGTTGGAAAAATTTATTAAAAAAAATAATTTTAAACTCAAACAGTACAGAAGTAAGATAGCCATGAGGCTTTTTCATATATTTCATAATAACTTATTTCCTGAAGAGATAAAGGTGCGGCTAGATAAACAGCTGGGTGATCTTCAGAAGAGCTGTGTTATTTAGGTTTATTCAGACTGATTATATTCATGAACTGAATTTACTTTAAACATGTTTTTAATTTATTACATATGGAACTATAAACTGCAAAACTTGGAACCTCTTACTTTTGTCAGTTTGAAAGTTAAAAAAATAAAACTTTTGTTTTTTACAACTGACAAGGCCACTGGCATGATAATAAATTAGAATTATGTCTTTTGGGGCCTACCAGAAGCAGATCTGTCAACCTCTAGATAAAAAGGCAGCAACAGACAAGCCCACATCAAAATCTGGCACCAAATTCTCCTTTCTTGGATAGAATAGCAGTGTTCTCTGAGGCAAAATGTATTTTGCTGTTGTTTTTTGCAGTCATATTGTACTGTTTGTCCTCTGATACTCTAGAGTAGGAGGAGACATGGCGAGGGTCAGGGAGGGTGTGTAGGGGTCTGTGAGTGATCGGGGAGGTGCGAGTACAGAGGGGCTAGGGGAGGGTGCACAGGTGGGGGAAACTTACCACAGCGACTTGTGACCTTCCCTGCCAGCTTCTGTATTGACTTTCTGGGGAAGCTGGCAGGGAAGGTTGCAAATGGTACCTATGTGATCGCAGGGCACTGCAGCCTGTCGTAAGTGTGAGCCAGTTGCCAAGTGCCCAGATCACGATCACATGACTGTGGGAGTGCTGAGGACCAGTCGTAACCACCATTTGTTCAGAGTCATTGTAACTTTGAACAGTCGCTGAACGAATGTTTGTTAGTTGAGGGCTATCTGTATTTGTTATTTAAAACAAAGAATCACTACAGAAATGTCCAACTTTTGAATCATAATCTGTTATTGAGATGTGATTACTATGAGCTACTGACTGTACCCAGTAGTGCCAAATCAACACAAGTGCTACAGTCGTGGAAATGCAAAACAGTGCCTTATCTAAATCATTCAACAGGTATATTTTAGTGGAGTTATTTTCATGTTCTACAACTACCTGAACTCCATAATTAATTTAATTCTCAAGTGTTAAATATGCATATTGTAACAAAATAAAAAATATATTCCCTTTGGTTACATGGGGGAATTCCATCCTGTCTTAGCTGTCAGCCTTTTCTAGAAAGTTCTAGATACAAGGAATGTGATCCTCTGGATGTTTATGCAGAAGCAAATCACTGTGTCTTCATTGTGGTTACTCTTACGTGTTTGCTTATGACTGGAGCCTAAGTTTGCACTCTTGTCTACACTTACTTGTGTATAAGCCAACTTAATATGCTACCTCTTACTTTTGAACAAACATTCAGAGGACTCTGCTGTTAGTTTTGAAATCGGTAATCTTGTCATATGGCTTCAGCGTAATTAGAGAACTTCCCTATGTAGAAAAATTCAGCCTTTGTTGTGATTCTAACACACTGCATTGTAGAATCAAGAAATACAATAGAATAAGGTTTTAAATCCCAATTATTTAAGATATCTGCATTTTACAACCACAGATCTAATTTGTGATGCCAGTTTTAGAGAT